TCCAGATCCTACCCTTGCTCTCTTTTTCCAAAAAATCAACTACCGCAGTGGATGTTGATTTGCCCCTACCACTTTCTTTCCCCCTCCCCTTCCACCACACCAAACTTACCAGCTGGAGGCAGCTCTCCAAGCCGCTGACTATGCTCCTCACTGCCTGAGTGCTGCCCTGCGGTTGCGCGCAGCATGGGAGTTTATCGGCCAAATTATTGGCCCCATCAGCTGATATCTGATGCAGCCAGTTTTCTTATATAGTGGTACTGATCTGATATTGGACTGATTTTTGTATTGGTACACTTCTGCCACCCACAGACCCCACATCCTCCCCCCACGACCCCTTCCTTGCAGGCAGAAGCTTCCCTCCCCACTTACCTAGCTGTCTAGTCGCGCAGCTCCACAACATGGAGTTGGAGGCACAGAGCTTGTAGCAGTTAAATTATGCTAAATTATGCAATTATGTGCATTAATACCTTTTATGCACAAAATTGTGTGGGCACATAATTGCATAATTCCCCAGGGTGTAATTTAAGAAATGACATACTGGGTGAGACCAAGGATCCATCCAGCCCTGTATCCAATCTCTCACCTTGGCAAGTAGCATATTCTTTAGAGCAGTGGTTTTCAACCTTTTTTTGTTTGTGGACCCCTAAAAAATTTCTAATGGACGTGTGGACCACTCTGAATTGCAAGTGTGGTGTATTTACATATGTCTGACTGATCAGAGTCATCTTTCACGAACACCCTAGACCTAGGAGTCCATGGACCACAGGCTAAAATCCACTGCTTTAGAGTATAAGAAATAGGGCAGGAGTAGACTGATCAAGTTTCTGTATGTCGCCATACCTTTTCAGTTACCAGCAGTCATAGGTTTAGGGAACTACTGAGCTGGGAGTTCATACTGACTGTTGGGGTTGGTCCTTGATGAGCCTATCCTCTAAAAGCATGCCTGATTACTTTTTGAATCTAGTTATGTTCTCTTTTATAGCATCCTGTGGCAATACGTCCCTCCAGGTAATTTAATTTGCATGATAGGTTTGTAGTCTGTGCTTGAGTTATATAGAACTTCAGCTATTACAGTAATTTGGAGAACTTTTAATTCTGGGAGTTCCAGGTGAGTGATTATAATGAATTTATTTTCATTTATTTATTTATTTATTTTACAGGATGGCCTGAATTCATTGGTTCTTGATCTGGATTATCCAGCACTGAGGAAAAACAAGAACATAGATAATTTCTTAAATAGATGTAAGTTGCTTTTATACATCTCTGATGCTGATATGACTTTAGTAAAACAGCCTTTGAAGTGAAATGACCAGAAATACAATATATTACTCATTTACACTTTGCCATCACCCTGAGCTGTATACTGTACATAAATTTTTTTCTCAGTACAGTCTTAATATCCAATTGCTCTTATGCTGTTTTATTGCTAAAACTTTAGTATACAGGTTTCCCTCACCAACCACTGGGGTCAGGTTCCTGAAAGTTCCTGTGGTTAGCAAAACCGTGGTTGGCAAGACAAAAGGCTTACGGGAAAAATAGCAGGTGGCGGGCTGGTGCACAGCCACAGAAAACCATTGTTACTTAGAAATGTAAACTGTGGCAGCCAAAATGCTATATAGAATATTAAGCGTGGATTCTCAAAACCATGGTTGGCAAAACCGTGGTTGGCGAGGGAAACCTGTATTTGTAAGTGCCATCTAACACTTTTTCTTCCCCTACATGTCTCTCAGGTGTTATTACTGAGGTTTTATTGTATTCTGTAGTAAATAGAATGCCAGTATATGAAGCAACATATTATTATGAAATCTTACTATATTTATCTTTTTGGTTATGCCAGGAGTCCTTCTACCATATTCAAAAAGCTTTCAAAGCCCTGTAGTTTGGCTACAAGGTCTGTTCAATATGCATCTTTGAGGTCTTGTCCACATTTAAATAATTTTTCTGAAAAGTTCATTGTGAACATAATTCTGGAGTTTACTGAGCACTTCTGTGCCTATGTGCATTGCATTGGATTAACTGTAACTTGCATCCACACACTCTTTTTAAAGCGACTTATTTGGCTTCTTTAAGTTGCAGCAAGTAATTCTCCTTGGAACAGGAGTGACTAATTTTTGCAATGCATTTATTGCTTTAGGGTTGATATAGATGTGTTCATAACTACTATACCTTTGGGAGTCTTTGGGCTGCTGTACTATACTGTGTTGCTTCATACCTAACTCAGGCTGTCTGGTGCCTTCCATTGCTTGCTCCCCATTCATTCTTGCCTAGATGTTGACTATCCAGTTAAATGCTAGCTCTTTTTTGATACCAGGTAGTAATGTGTTCGTACACTTTTAGTTGCATGTTATGGCAGCCCTGTTTCTCATCATGTGCAGGCCTCTTTCATAGCTTTCTGTAGAGCACCTGGATTGACACACAGCGTTCTAGACAGAAACCCATCTCTCTCTGGAGAAGTCACTAATGCACTAATCTATGAGAAGTTGCTAAAGCTAATGAAGAAGAGGGGACACACTTGAACTTTACTAGTACTAAGTCAGAATAAAGGAGATCCATGAAGACAAGTGTGAACTCTGTAATTCTCACTACTTGGGATTGTATTTTTGTAAATGATGAAGTACCTGGGATGATAAAGTGGGTGTCCTAGGCCTTAGGGTAAGTTTATGATCCCACATGTATTGTAGTCGTCAAGAAGAACTAACTTGTTTTTGATAGCCAAGATCCAATATAATTTGGCAGATTCAGACATTCCAATAAGGCTGTTTGCCTTGATGGTTCCTTGTGTAATTGCCTTGAAGGGAAGTTCCATTAACAGCCAACATGAAAATGATATAGATAAGAGCTGTACCAGAAAGCATCATGAGAAATGTAATTAAATCCCCCTATGCATTATGTATTATGATATGTTTTTCCAGGTAGTGGCTGTCCTCTGCCAAGTTGAGCAGAGCTAGGAGACTCTCTCCATCTGCTCAGCATTTAATTTTCTGTCTCACCAGGATGCTCAAAATAGCATCTGTGCCAAAGACTTAAAGCTTTTAAGTTTTATTTCTCATGACCATTGGCCACGCTTACTGCCTCTGTCCCCCTTCCAGGGAGTGGGGAAAGGGTGAAATGCCAAAACACTTGTATGTAATGTGCCAGTGCTGGAGATTTACTTTCATTACTTCCCATTGTCTTTTTTTTAGATCCATCAAGAACCATTTTTTTTCTTAACTATTTAGCTAGAGATACAATCATTAATAAGTCTACAGTGATACATGTAGTATTTGTACAGGGAACACAGTAGCCTTCAAATATTCCATGATTCCATCATTTCTTGCATCCCCCCCTTTTGAGGAGGACATAGGAAAGACTGTCTACTATTTATTTATTTATTTATTTATTTATTTAATTATAGATTTATACTCCCAACAAGGCAGTTTACAGTAAGAGAAAAAATAACTTACAAATCATGTAGAGTATTAAAATGAGTTATGAGTCCAGTGTCTTGGGAAAGTCTATACTACTTTTTTATTACTGTCATAATTTTAAATGTCATCTAATTCATGTATTAATCAGTAAAACTAAATAGTGCTCACTTGTTTGAAAACTATCCCATGTGTGACTACGTGGACGTTAACCCCATTTACTTCTGTGATCTCAGAACCATTGTGTACAAAATTGAGACTTAGTCCTTCCACTCCCATCTCTCATCTGGCTGATACAAAACACAGATGATGACTTTTTCCCCTCAAGCTTTGAGCTGCCATGACTGTAGCTTAGGTGTTTCCTCCTTGGTCCGATGGAGAAACTGGGATGTGCCAGGTTCCTTTGAAGGTAGTTTTTAACCCAAACCACTGACAAAGACGTATCTTTTATTCTTCTGGAAGGTCAAAACTCCTTCTCTGCCCTGTAGGTCAGGGTATAGGAAATCCCAGTGTCATCATTAAGAGTTTCCTTGGGGAGAGGAGGCAGTGAGTGAGCCACCTCCTACCCCTTTTAACTGGTTTTTTTTCTTGTGTGTGTGAGGGTTATGGAGTTGTCTTCCTCCCCGGTTGCAATGAGATGAGAAGTTTTGGGGGGTGTTTTTCTCTCATCCTGCTTAAAGTCATCCACATTTTCACAGACCTCAGGCTGTCATGGAGCATCCCCTTCCTCCTTGATTGTTGGTCCTTCTGCAAACTCCTAAGCAGTTACTTAATTTTTTTTAGGGTTTTCTCATTCTTGTATATGTTGGTGGCAGTATTCCTAATTGCCTTAGTTTCCCCAGTCTGGGGTAGTTTAAGCAGCTGTGGCAGGAATAGTTGTCTAAGTTTTCCTACATCTGATGGGAATCTCCGCTACAACAGTGTTCCCCACTGGGTATAGACAA